TCAAAATAAAAACGACACTTTTCCCTCCAAAAGGTCCAGAGCGAATCGTAAAATTTACGTTTTTCAGGACAGGCTAGGCGTTTAATTGCAATGCTAAAGCACTAGACATGTGTAAGTAATATTACAAAGGTGATATCACGCGACAGGGTACTGTGATATCACGCACCACTTTGGAAAAATATGCATTACTCATAACATTGCCCATTAACATAGATCACGTCGGGGCGCTCTGGGCGTTTCCCGATATGAACTAATGATAGTAATTAGTAAATATCTATATTAATAGCGCCACCCAGCAAATTTTCGACGTACTAATTGATGGGACATTGCTAACCGTGCCATAGTGTTATGTCCCTTTTACATTCAGCCCCTGCCGCTGCCCCTCGCGCTGCCGGCAATAATTCCCTAAATACTGCTGCAACAGGATCGAGAGGAGTGTGTGTTTACATACTGCCCTTCCACTCACTTCGCTTTCAAGTTTCGGCAATGGCAGACGTCGAAATAATTACAGCGGCCGCGCTGTTTCTTTTTGCGATACATAATTATGTTCGATATTTAAAAAGATATCGAATACAAAAAAAGAATGTTCGTCGTAGATGATGGTGGATGATATCTATCCATCGAAATAGAACTTTGTAAGTATACCTAATTATCAACCTACCTACTTAACTAATTTTTTAATGCATATACTAATTCTATTAGTAAGTATGAGTTGTTTATTAAACAAACCATATCGGATTAAATATGTCATCTGCACCTGCACCGGATCGGATTGAATTATGTTTTTTCTTCAAAAGAGGCCTGAAAGTGGCCATCAGAGACTTTTTTTTTAATTTAAGTTCGTCAATAGGTATGTCTAAAGCAACACTGATTTTTTTCCACGCGTCGTGAACCTTATGTTTCTGTTTATGTTGTTTATCCTTAACATCCCAAATGACTTTTTCCGTTTCCAGTAGTTCTAAGAATTTTATTGTAATCTCATTGCTCCATTCGGACGGCATTTTCGATGATCTAAAGTATCTAAACGAACGTCTTTCTCCTCCAGGCGCTTGGCGAGTACTGGGCGTCGGAGCAGAATGTAAACACGCACTGCCGCTCGCGCTGCCGGTCCTTTGACTTCCGCACAAAAAACCGCCATTTTGGGGAGCGCCGGGCAGCGCGAGTGGCAATGGCAGTGGCATGAGAAGTATCGCGTTTACACACTCATCCTGCCCACTTCCCTGCTCACTACGGCTGAATGTAAATGAGGTATTACGTAGCGCTGCTGCCAGGTGTCAGCAGCAATGTGCAATGGGGTCCCCATATAAGTAAGTTGTCAAAACGGCTCAGCTCTGCAGTGTACGCGATTAAAAAAATAA